ATTGAGCATGTAAAAAGAAAAAAAGATTCCTCTAACATAACTAATATTCAAGTTCCAGAAGAAACTCAAGTACCTGAAATTATTGAAAATGAAGAGATCTCAATAAATTGTTATGAATGAAATACAATGGAATCGAAACAATGTCAATATTGATGACATGTTTGCATATAATATAGCGCTAAATGTAATAAATGATATTGAGGATCAAGAACCAAAGTCCATCAACGATTGTCGACAAATAAATGATTGGCCAAAATGTATAGATGCCATTGAGGTAGAATTAGACTTGCTTGCTAAGCGAAAAGTTTTTCGACCAGTACTACGTACACCAAAAGGTGTAAAACCAATTGGATATAAATGGATTTTTGTGCAAAAACAAAATGAAAATGGTTAAATTGTGAGATACAAAGCAAGACTAGTTGCTTAAGGATTTTCACAAAGACCCCGTATTGATTTTGAATAGACATATTCACTTATAATGGATGCAAGCACTTTTTGATAAACCCTAACCATGAAAAACTTAATTTACACCTAATGGATGTTGTAACGTAGCAAGTTGTTTTAAAAAAAACCTAATATAGGTGATTTAATAGCCTAGAACGGGCCGTTCCCAATCTGGAACGGGCCGTTCCAAGCTATTAAATTGGCCTGTAATTCGTGGTTGAGAACGGGCCGTTCTGGTTGGAGAACGGGTCGTTTTGGATGGAGAACGGGCCATTCTGGAAGGGAGTACGGACCGTTCTGGATGCAGTATGGGCCGTTTTGGATGAGTCCCAGAACGGGCCGTTCTGATTTCAGAACGGGCCGTTCTGCATGAGTTTTTTTCACTTGACGAAGTAGTTCAGAACGGGTCGTTCCGATATCGGTACAGGCCGTTCTGGCCAATCCGGAAAGTCTATAAATAGGGGTGTGGGCCGTGAGGAGAATCAGAGGTTTCTATAGAGAAGTTTTAGAGAGAAGGTCTTTGGGTCTGTGAGATCCTTTCTCTGCCAAATTTCTCTGTATGAATCCTTTTCTCCTCTAGACCACTAATGCCTTCTGTCATTTCTTGAAATTCATATTAGAAAGCTTGCTTTGGGTAGATTGAAGTTCCGGGTTGAGCTACGAAGGGGAATTCTACTTCTTGTCAATTTTTGGCTATCTGAGCCAATCTTCAGGTAAGGAAAGCTAGACTGTTTGTTGTTTAGGTTGTATATGAGTTTAGAAACTCAATTGATGCATGAATGCTGAGAATCCATAGATGGATTGAAGAAAATCTTATTTTTGAGATTTTGAGAAAAAGGAGGATTTTGATGATTTTGATGCATAGGTTGGATGAATGTCAGATTTAAGTTTATTTTGAGTTGTATGGAGCCTATGCATTGTGTTTTGTGTTTGCATGTGGATGGATGTGTTGGCTTGGATGAGAGTTTTGAAACTCTCTGACTGAGATCAGGCTAGGCACGGGTTGAGCGTGCCAGGCATGGGAGAGTTTAGAGCTCTTGGGTTGGTGTTAGGTCAGGTGCGAGCTGACTGCGTTGTGCAACGGGTCGTTCTGGATGCAGTACGGGTCGTTCTGGATGAGTCCCAGAACAGGACGTTCTGATTTCAGAACGGGCCGTTCTGCATGAGTTTTTTTTCACTTGACGAAGCAGTTCAGAACGGGCCATTCCGGTATCGGTATAGGCCGTTCTGGCCAATCCGGAAAGTCTATAAATAGGGGGTGTGGGCCGTGAGAAGAATCAGAGATTTTTAGAGAGAAGTTTTAGAGAGAAGGTCTCTAGGTCTGTGAGCTCCTTTCTCTCCCAAATTTCTCTGTATGATTCTTTTTCTCCTCTAGACCACTAATGTCTTCTGTCTTTTCTTGAAATTCATATTAGAAAGCTTGTTTTGGGTAGATTGAAGTTCCAGGTTGAGCTACGAAGGAAAATTCTACTTTTGTTCAGTTTTTGGCTATCTGAGCCAATCTTCAGGTAAGGGAAGCTAGACTATTTGTTGTTTAGGTTGTATGTGAGTTTAGAAACTCAATTGATGCATGAATGTTGAGAATCCATAGATGGATTGAAGAAAATCTTATTTTT